CCTCGGCTTACAGCCACTCATTTAGTGACTGCTGGAAGTTGCCATGGCACTGAAAAAAATGCCTTATGCTGGACTTGCAATTAGGACCATTTCAGAATCCCCAGGGTCACATGATCAAAAATCAGGCATTTGGTAACCAGCATGTATTTACAAAGGTTGCAGCATCCTGGGCTCACGTGATCGCCATCTGTGACCTTCCCAACTTGGTTATGATGAAGTCAATGCAGTGTGTGTGTGTGTGTGGGGGGGAGACGAATTCTCTTAATTGTGCTATTCACTTAATCAGTGGTAGGATTCAAACATTTTTACTACCGATTCTGTGGGCATGGCTTGGTGGTCGTGGCAGGGATACTGTAAAATCCTCATTTCCCCCCAATCAGCTGGGACTCGGGAGGCAGAGAATAGATGGGGACGGGACCAGTCAGAGGTATTTACCGGTTCTCCAAACTACTCAAAATTTCCGCTACCGGTTCTCCAGAACTGGTCAGGACCTGCTGAATGCCACTTCTGACTTAACTGCAGTGATTTGCTTAATACTCATGGAAAACAGATTGTAAAATTGGGTAAGATTCCTTTAATTGCTTTGCTTAGCAATGGAAATTCTGGCCCCAATTGTGGTTGTAACTCAAGGACGTTAAGGACCTAATCTAAGTTACTTACCTACAACTTTGGCATTGGACATGGGTTAGCCCATCATCCCAGGGGTGAAATCAACTTACCTTTGTTACTGGTTCGGACATGCGCAGGACTTTCTGTGCATGCGCAGAGCGTCAAAAATGGACATGATGACATCCGGGCGGGTGGGTGGAGACTGCTACTGAATGCGCCTGCAAAGGGAAGTGAACCGCAAGGGGGGGAGGAGTCCGCTATGCCATGCGATTTCCTGCTTTCTAGCTAATCTAAATCACGCATCACAGTTGATCATCAGAAATACCAGTTCACCTGAACTGGTAGCATTTTTTTACTACTGGTTCAGACCAACTAGTGCAAACCGTAGCATTTCACCCCTGCATCATCCTCTCTTCACCGTTTTAAGTCCTTTATTCTTTGCTTCCCTTATAATGGCTGCGTCTCTCTCTAGAATAAGTCTGTTTTATCCATGGTTTCCACAACACTTCTAGCAATGCCTAATGGGTCACATATTGTTGTGTTTAAGCAACAGGGAGAGGCCATGCAGTAATACACAATCTATGCTGCATTTTTTTGCACCAGGCCCAGCTCTTTTATTCCTTGTTTTAAGGGAAAAAAACCACAGAACAAACAAGTCTATCCTTAGCAGGATTTTCTTATTGTTTAAAATTTAGAACACATAGGACTGCAACTTTAATCTTTATGCCATCACATCTTTTTTTTTGAGCCTGTAAATTCTGTTCTTGAGCCTGTAAATTCTATTTTTTCCCAAATTTGCTTCATTGTATTTTTTTTAATAAGCTACCCGAATTGCACTGTGATCATGGATAAGAAATCAGATCCAGGTTCAATAAAATTCCTGCAAAAAAGTGTGCATAACGTAAGAATTTTCAATCTGTGTTTGGATTGCAACTCTTGGCTGCATAGAAGAAGTAGACAGATGCCTACTCTAGTACTTTGAGTAGTTTCTTTTATCTCTGCTCTCAACTTTCCTCTCCCTCCAAGCATTTGTCCTACATCCTTAAAACGATTTCCAAAATAAGGCAGATAAGATTAGCCCTATAACTTTCTGTACTGATGCCTATCTCAAACTATACTGCTGATTCTGGCTCCTTTTTTTAAGCAGCAAATTAATCTTTCTCCTTTTAATGTTTGTGGTTCACCCTCTTTACTCCTCAGCTAGTTAATCTTGGCCACCGAACAAGAAAAGGAAACGGGAGAACCAGTTTAAAAATGAAGATGCATTTTGTGTGACTCCTGCACAGAGAGGCAGGGGTTTCTGCTTTGGACATCCCTCTCTCCCTCTCTCTCTCTCTCCCCCCTTTCTCTCTCTCATCTCTCTCTCCCCCTTTCTCATTCGTCTCTCCCATCTTTCTCTCTCTCATCTCATCTTTCTCTCTCATCTTTCTCTC